ATCGACGATCTCGAAGAACAAACAGGCAGGGATCTAGAACACTTTGGTGCCAACCGATGGTCTTAACATATGAACTAAATTCCTTGAACCACGCCGCAGGGGCGTCGTTCTGCCCGTACACGTTTCCGGTTACTTCTATCACTGCGTCTTCTGGCAATCCAGGGATACCCCCTGGTGGTTGGTGTGCGAAAAGTGGCCTAAACGACTCTTCCAGGGGACCGGCCTCGAGGAACGCGCCGCGAATGTCGCCTAACTGCAAATCCCAACCTTGGGACGCAATCACTTGCATAAGGCTCATCCGGCCGAGTTGACTCAGCGTAGGAGACCGCAGCATTCCCTTCTCAGCCTTCACAGTGAGATCTGGGTCGAGGTGACCCTGCAAACACCACCTGCCCTTCACAGTGAAAGTGTCCCAGTTGTTTGGGTCGACTTCAACCCCTTCTTCAAGTGGCTTCCTAGTCAACACGAATCGGCTTCCGATAAAACGATGTGGTTGTTCCGTTTTGATCTTCTTAGCGGCTTTACCATAGTGAATCCGGACTGCATGTGGTTTGGATACAATGGTTTCCCACTCCGTTCGTTTCCCCATTTGGATCTTCTGTTGTAGCTTGGGTGGATTGTTACTATGATGCAATTCCTTGGACATCTTTTTCTTCAGATACTCTGACATGAGGCATTCCCAGGGTTGGGTGTCTGCGATGTCCAACAGAGATGACACTTCTTGCACTGACAGGGCCTCCTCCATTCGAGGACGCTGGGCTTCCGGCTCTGACGAAGCGGCTTCTGGAGAACGAGGTCGTTTATCTCTACTCATGATTACATCTTCGACCAGTTGAGGGACCACTTCACGCATCACATCTACAAAATCATCCTGGTTCAGAGCAGCTGGACGCCACAGTGTCATCGGCTCATCTTTACCTGTCACTCTTCTACGAATGGGACCATATGAGGAAGCCGACGATGAATGAGCTGTACTATCAGGTTTCTCTACTTCGGACGGTGCTTCTACTTCGGCTGGACCATTGCCATCGCTTGATGAGAGTGGCAGACTGTCATCTGGTGGCTCCTCCGGCGGTGACACATTTTCAACCTGGCGAGGAGGTGCAACACTCGCTGATGGTCGATCAGCCTGCATTTGAACGTCGGGTGATTCGGGTGCAGCAACTGGAGCATGGCTTGGATCGGCCGGGGCTATGTCATCATTACCTTCTTGTGGTGGATATGATTGAGGAACAAGATCTAAGTATTGCTTACTTTTCAGGTTTCCCTGAGTGATCATGTCCTTGACCCCAAGCAACTCTGTCTCTGGTGTGGCAATCAAACACTTCTCTTCATTAGTGGCATGACGGACTTGCTCAGGTGCACACCGAATCACATTTCTACGATGTACTAGAATTAGATTTCGACCCACCGTGCCTAGCAACACCGCTACCCCATACCACTGACCCCCTTGTTGGAGATTTCCTTGCACCCACTTTTGGTTCCTCCAATAAGCGACTAAGTCCCCAGGTTGGAAAGGAGTGCTTGTGCGGGGTCTGGCCAACAGGGCAACACGAAGTGACCTGTCATCTTGCATCTTCACGAGCGCAACACGAGCGGCGGTTCTCATCGCTTGGGCACGAGCAAGGCCTTCATCAGTTAAGGCTGCGGTGCTAGCAATCACGGATTGTGGCTCATTCAACAAGTCCTGAGGGATGTGAGGATTTCTGCCAAACACGAATTGGTGAGGGGAGAATCCATGGACCTGAAGCATTTGGTTCTTCACATGGGCATGAGCTACACATTCTAACCATGATTCCTTGCTGTTCGGTTGAAATTCATCAATGAGTTTTTCCAGGACTCGATTGAACCAACCGCCATGAGATTCACACTTGCCTAGTTGCCAATGAGCTCCGGCAGCAATTGTGCGAACATGGATGCCATCTGCTTCGGCAGGTTTCATCATTTGTTCACCTAAATTAGTTCTAGCAGGATCGAGAACTAACTCCTTTGGGGCTCCAGCCCAGGCAATCCAATGTTCATGCAAAAGCTTCCGAAGGACTGAGGTAATCTCGGTCTCAAAGAATGGTATCATCCTCTGGAACCCACTCGCTGTGTCCACCAGGTTCACGGCACGAATCTTCTGATTGGGAAGCCAACCCTTCAAGTGCTTCACATCCATTCCTACCTGATGATTGAACTCGGACACACGATTTGGTTGAGTTGGCAACGGCGATGTGGGACGAGCCTGGCTCTTACAGAAGTCACACGAAAACTCTTTCGCCAGCCGGAGCGCTTGTTCTGATGCGTCTCCATGTTTCAAGATTCTCACCCAAGATTCTCACCATGTCATGGTTTGGAGGATGTCCCACGTTCTTATGAAGGCGAATCAACACTGGCATGAGTTCCTGATCGGACTTGGCCTGACTCTGAGCGGCGGCTAGGATCTCAGTCCACGCGTCGGGATGCACAGCATCCTCTAGCACTTCTACTAGACACGCAGGGTGTGCTCGACAGGTGTTAGACGCACCATGTTCTGGATGCTTCTCCCTGAACTTGGCAAGAGTGTTTAACACGGCTTGAACAAATTCTCTAGGATACTGACCAGCATATTCGCTGACCTTGGCAACCCCTGGAGCATGACCAGCTACGGTGTCATGACAGCTGTGCTTAGCATCACCTGTACAGAGAAGTCCTAAAGACTGCATATCGGAGTGCGAAACTAACAGACGGGTGCTCTTACGAATGTAGTGCTCACTGGATGGCAGGCGCAATCCATACCTGCACATGTGCAACTTGACTGTTTCGAATACCCTACACAAACTCTGCATTTCTGGATATGTCCAAAGCCGGGAACCCGTTGGATGTTCAAACATTGCTCTACCACCATTCCTGGTCTGAAGTCGAAACAACTTGCAACACCAACGAATGTACGATCGGCTTTGTGCTCGACGTTTCAGGTATTCCAGTCGATCGCCCTTAGTGCTGTTTAGGTGCACCCATCCGCTCTCATCCGTGCAAGGCGGACACAAGACCAAAAGCTCTGGCGGATCTGTGATCAAATCCTCTTCCACCAGCTTCCTGTCCCGAGAACGACGAAAATCGAATCCGGTCTTTAGGTCATATGATCGCGCACGGAAGCCGGCTTCTTCGGCTTGGATGGCAAAACGTGGTGGGGAAAACACTTCCATAACCAAACATTTACCCCTGGGCCGAGCATGCACTGCTAAACATGTCTTGACCTGCGATTCGAGCTGTCGGGATTGATGTGAAGTCAGGTTCAAACTAGATCCATGCTCATCACGTGAGGGATGCGGCACAAACGTGAACACCGTTCGAACATGAGCGAATCTCCCTGGCAAACGGTTGATGATCTTATGTTGGGGTGTCCCTGGATAGACCCTCACATCATCAAGAACCCTCCTAGATTCACAATCAATCACCTTCCTACGGACAACGCTATTCCACTTGGGACCAGTTCTTGACAACCACGGTGTACTAACAACATCACTATTCTCCTGGGTCCAAGTCAGCAAGGAAGGGGCGGCAGGATCAGGTTCACAGGCAATCTCGTCGGCAGGCACGGATGCTGTGGTGCCTGCTGAATCCGGAGGTGCAGTATTGGACTCCGGTTCAACATCGGGAGCCTCCACTGAAGCCATCACCTCATCGAAAGAGGCAGCAAACACTGGATCCGCTGGCTGTCCTACCAAGTGAACAATGTACTGTCCGGCACTGTTGGTCTTGAATGGCACCACTTGTTGAAAAACATGTAAACAGTCTTTCTCAAAATTCAACGTTGCCCCCAAGGCTTTCAATGCTGATCTGCTCAACAACAGGGGGGCGTCCCCCTTGATGATTGCTGCTTTGATCACTCCTCGCTTGGATGCCAGAATGACTGGCATGGCCATCGAATGGGTTGAGGTCTCAATATCACCATTCCCAAACTTAAACTGGTGGATCTCTTCCGTCCATGGAGGGACGGCCCACCCACGCTGTCGCCACAGGGTCTCAAAACAACGAAGGGTGTTGATTCCAACAATCGTTCGGCCACAGCCTGAATCCAGCACGGCATAGCCGGGGGATGATACCAACAAGAACTCTTCCGGGAGGGGATGCGAAGCAAACAAGGAGTCCTGCCGCTTTTGTCGGACCTGCTCAAGAAGGGTGAGTTGGGGAACCACTGATGCAACAAAATCCAACTCTTCAACGGCAGCAATACCTGTGGTCGAGGCATCATTGGACTTTGAGGAGGAGGATGCACCTTTCCCTGAGCCCTTCTTGTTGACCTCCTTGGAACGACACTCCCGGGCCCAGTGACCCTTCCTACCACAGCGATTGCATGCAGTGTGCCTTTTCATTTCTTCCACTTCCACCCGAAAGGATCTTCGGACGTCCTTGGCCTTGTTGAACTGTCGGGATTTCTGAAGCTTGTTCAACTCCTATCGACGTTCACGCCAGGTGGCGGCCAGGACTTCTGCTACTTCTGACTCCTGAAAGGTGTCTCCATCACCAGTGAAATCTGAGGCCAGCTGGTGATCCTCAAGTAGCTGATCAACATCGGAGAAGTGCTCTTCCCACAAGTCGGACGGATCTTCGGCTTCTGGGTCAGCGTCTTCCGCCAGGGCAATGGCGGTACGCCTTTTGATAATCACCAACTCCGGGTAGCAGGACCGTAAGGCAGCAGCTATGGATTCTCTCTTCAAGTCTCCTCGAGCTCTAGAAATCACCACAGCTTTCTGCTCTTCACTAAGGCCAGCTCTATGGAGAAGGAGCCAACCACGAGCTTCATCGGGAAACTGGACACCGGTCTTCCGGTAGCATCGATCGAACAGTTCCGAGGCTCGGGCAGTCCATTGCTTCATATTCTCACCTTCATTGGATCGAAGGTGAAATACCTGACCCAGAATCTCCCCTAACTCGTCCACAGTCTCAAGCTGTGGAAACCTCTTGTCCAACAATTCCCAAAGTACTTGGTCACCATCTTTCTTCTGATACAGCGCTGGATCAACATGTTCCACCGCCTCCAGAGCCTTGCCACTCAAAAGAGTGTAGATGTAAGCGCCCCGTGCGCTCTCAGGAAGCTTGTCCAAAGTCAAAAACTTGTTTTTAACCCAGGTCTTCCACCGCTTATATTCGCGGCCATCTTCATTTTCACCTGAAAACCCTCGAACCGCAGCGCTATCGGACGCGCTAGCCGCTGCAGCCATGTCACGTGTGAGGACCTCCACCGAGAGGTCGTGCAATCAAGCAGCCATGGCGGGAGCCGGGATACCCGGCACCGCTACCAATTGCGGAGTACAAGATTCCTCCCCTGAGGAACTACGATCGGGCGTTCCTTTCACTCGAGCATGGAAGTCCCTCGACCGACCGCCGAAGTCACGTGTGGACAATTCGAATAATATATTATTTATCATGAAAGTTAGCATTAACTAGCTGGAATTGTCCTTGATTTGGTAAATGAGGGACTGGAATCCTCGAGTTCGCCATATTACGTGAACATTTCCTATATAAAGGTTTTATTTTTTTTAATTGGGACGTCTCTGGAACGGACACCTCTTGGACACCTTTTATGGAATCCACTTTGGTTCAACTCCTCCGTGGAAATTTTGGGATACGATTCAACAGATTCACAAGCTAAGGTCGGCTATATCATTATTATTCGTATATTTTACATATTTACAACGTTTTACCTCATAAGCGAGACCTTGAACCTAGCCTATCAAAAAAAAGAAAAATATATATTTGCCTCATTCCATTTGATGTCCCATCAATCCTTTATTATTAGACGATATTATATATTTTATCCTACTAGTTTTCGTTACCTATCCTCGACCTCAAATGTTATATTATGATTTAATAAATAAATTAATGCAATTATTTAAATAATATTTTAAATATATCTATTCAATAAATGAAATTCTTTAATTTTATATAAATTTAATTTTAATTCTATTAATTTAATTATATTTAAAATATTAAAATAATATAATATAAATATATTAAAATTTTATTAAATATATTTTTCTTCCATTAATTAAATCCTTCATCGTTAAATTACTTGAGGTCGAGGGTAGGTGACAAAAGCTAGCAGGGGTGCATCCGGACTGGTGGGACATCAAGCGGAGTGAGGCAAATGTTCATGAGGTAAAGCGTTGTGAATATGTAAGACACATAAACAACAATGACATAGCCAACCTTCGAATTGAAGTCCCCGACAATTAAGGAAGCGCACTGTTCGATGCATCCGATATGTTCACGAACCTATGAGCTTGTTAAATCTGTTGCACCGTATCCCAAAACCTCCATGGAGCTAGTACCAGCTAGCTGCGGAGCGCGCAGGGTAGCGTAAGCTAAAAAGAAACGCGGGGGCAAACACGCAACGAAAATACGCGGTGTTTCCAACGCAAGTCGCTTGAGTCAAGCTGCGGTGCGGGCTCATGCATGAAAGCAATCATGTCAGGCTACCTCTCTGTACCTAGCTATGATCTTCACATAGCCAGAAAAGTGTATTGACGTGATTGCAATTGTACATATTGTACACGAGCAGGCGCTGCCTGAGAAGGTTCGTATCGATCGAAAATCAGGAGCTCCGCTACCAATGCGGAGCGCGCAGGGTAGCGTAAGCTAGAAAGAAACGCGGGGAAAAAGCGCAACGAAAACACGCGGTGTTTCCAACGCAAATCGCTTGAGTCAAGCTACGGTGCGGGTTCATGCATGAAAGCAATCATGTCAAACTACCTATCTATACCTAGCTATGATCTTCATATTAGCTGGAGTTGTCCTTGCTTTAGCAAGTAAGGGGCTAGAATCCTCGGGATCGCCGCATCACATAAAAATTTAATATCCCCCCTCGGACACCTCTGGGACACCTTTCGGGCATCTTTTATGGCATCCACTTTGGCTTAATTCCTCCGAGATACGGTGCAATAAATTCAACAAATTCACATAATTCATAACATCGACAGAAGAAATCAAACAAATCATACAAGTAGCTTTGTTTTGCCTCTAAGATACCTCTCAAATACCTTTTATGTAATATGAATTCAATTCCTTTCGTAATAAACCCGCAATACTTTCTAAATCATTTATATAAATATTACTAAAATGTATTCAAAACCATTCTTCCCACCCAAAAAATCTACTCATATTTATATTCGGAAATTCGGCGATTATTTTCGAAAATAAAACAATTATATTTCGAAATTACATAAATATATTCGAAAATTAAAACAATTACATTCGAAAATTATGCAATTATCCATATAAAATTTAATGTCCCTATCCCATTCCCTCCGTTTCCCCGCAAAATTATTAATCCATATAATTATTTCAATTCCATCCTAAATACAACAATTTAAATAAATTATAAAATAAATAATTATAAAAATCAATTTCCAAATATAACGATCATACTTTCTAAATATAACCAAATAATCCCTAAATACGACGAAATTAATTTCCAAATACGACAAACATACGACAAAATATTTTTAAAATCCATAAATTTATAAATATAACGAATCCATTTTTAAATATAACGAAATAATTTCTAAATCCAATTTTTACCCTAAAAATCTACCCTAAATATAAACAATAAATTCCTAAAATCACCACACCATTACCCTAAATCTTACTAAAGAATTTTCATAAAACCATCGAATCCTAAATAAAACCAAATAAATTTATTCATTCAATCATAATCTTCATTCAATTAATCATAATTCAATTAAATGTTATTCCAATTCAATTATTCTTTTCTAATTCAATTCTAATTTAACTTATTCACTACACATCAAAATCTTTCAAAAAAATCTTTTATACAAATAACACAATTCTAAAAAATATCACCATAAAATCATCAAACCCTAAATATAATTTATCACACATAAAACTAATACATTTGCATAAAACCACCAAACCCTAAATAAAATTTACTATAAATAAAACTAATAAATATTCATCAAATCATTAAATCCATAAAATTAAAGAATTTGGTTTACAAAAAATATTAATTAAACTTATATAGATTAATTCTTTATATTCCTTCTCCATTAAATCCTTCATCATCAAACCACAAAACCTTCTAACACGAATTCTTTATAAAACCATTCTAGAAAAGGTTATCACCATAAAACCATTAAATCCTAACAAGTTTATCCTAAATAAAATTAATAAATTTTCATAAAGCCGCCAAACCCTAAATAAACTCTACCCTAAATAAAGCTAAAGAATTTTACTACAGCAACCAAAACCTAAATAGAATCTAATCCATTCCAATTAAATTCAAGTCAATTTCAATTCCAATAAAATGTAAATTCAATTCTAAATCAATTTAAATTCAATTGAATTTAAATTCAATTTCAATTCAAATTCAATTGATTTTGAATTAACTTAAATACTGATTCACCTTTATTTTAATATTTGTTTTTAGTCAAGGGACATGTCATTTGGATATATGTATATATACATAATTATTTCTTGGAATTTGGGATGAACTCTATTTAGGGTTCCTAAGAATTTCAAAATTTGAGAATTTGAGAGTACATTTATTAATCAAAGGTCAACATTATTCTGCTCGTATGTAGACTAAAAGCGCAAGGGTGCTTTGGAATTCGCTGCGGTTCCCCGCGAATCCTGCACGACCTAACGCACCACCCCGCGCACCACCCGGCGCACCACCCCACGCACCACCCAGACGTTCCCAAACCTTCCCAAACCCAGATTTTGACATAGGGGTAGTTAAGCTCACTCTGCCGTGGCCAAATCATGCTGAAACCCTTTTTCGCCAACCTTTCACAAATATCAATTCATGCATCACAATCTTAAGCCCTAGCTAATCCTTTCATAGAGGTCTACGCTGTTGCTGGTCTATTTAACAAAGATAGATCACCAATACGAACAAACTATATATATATATATTGTACCTGTACTGTTATCAAATTCAATTCATGCATAAACGCGCCGCTCCCGTTCCGGCACCCCCTGGTGACCCCCATGGTTGGTGTAACCATGGAAAGTGACCCGGGGGGCTGTGCAAGAGACTGGATCCACTTTACCAGGCCAGTCACGTGTACCACGAGCACCAGGCAAGCCCTGAGTTTACAAGTGGTCACGAATAGTCTTAGTCAGAGTGCCGGCGCCAAAATCAAAACATGCACAATCATCGATCTTGACAACTTGCAAATCCCACTTTCCTTTCTGAAAGTGGACTAGCAGCTGATCAACAATCAAGAATTTATCGAAAAACAGAGGTGAAGCCGTAGGCTGCCAGCCTAGCAGGCCACCCACACCTTCGGCTTGCTCAAAGCCCGTCAAAGCCCCAGCGCTTGGCTGAAGGCCGTCGTGATGGGCGACCCGTTGGGGAAGTCATCTTCTGGGAGATCCCACATCAAGCCACCTGAAGCCGAGTTGGGCATGAAGGGCCATCGGTAGTAGGTTAGAGGCCATCGCTTCTAGGGCAATGAGACGGGGTTCCGAGTTGAGCATCTGGAAGATACCAGGAACAGTCTAAAACCTACATGATGCTGTCAGGTGGAGAATGCTTCTAGTCACCAAACGTGCAATACTTTACTGAATGGTATCACCAATGTGTCAGAAGTAATAGTCATAGCATGTGAGCCCGAATTACAACAAGCAGTGACGTGAAGTCCCAAAAATTGGTGCAGTTGTTTCCTCCAAACAATCGGCAACTGCTACCAGGAACTACAATCCTTTCGCTACTGATTACACGCTGTTGTCGCCGGGACGCCAATGAGGCCCTTCTCCTTGATGAAGGCAGCTTTGCATCGTACGCTTTCTTCGTCATCGAAACCTCAGCTAAAGCAGTAACAAAAGAATTGCCGTTAGGCTGCCATTGCTATTAAGGTTGGAGGCCATCGTTATTAGGGTAAACTGCCATTGGCTCGTGGGGAGGGGAAGCCTTGGCCCATTGAACACGGAACCCTGCAAGACTCGAGCCGCTTTCGCTGGATCGCTGGATTGACCGATGCCACAATCCAAAAACAAACACTGCCAAGTAACCCATCCAAAGGGGAAGGAGCTACTAGTAGCTTCTTGTTCCTAGTAGCGATGCCAGGAGCCCCTAGTGGCCCTAGTAGCGTCCTTGCTCCCAGTAGTAAGGCCAAGTAACCCATCCAAAGATCATCCTTTTGGAGATAGGCCCCACAACGAGATGCATCGTAAGACTTCTGGGCTCCTGATGAGTTCTAACATGCTGGGGTCTTGAGATGGTCTGACGAGGGCATCAGCTGTGAAAAGGTGTCTTCAATGATCTTCATCTATCAAAACTTTTGGAGTTGTGTTCACTATCTTTCTATCTTTTTCCGGCAACATGGGAGCATTGTCATGACCCCATACCGCAATATGCTCCTTGGCTGATCAAGGTCAAGATCTCATAGTAGCTGGCCAGGCCTTTTTGTTTGCTGTAGGGTTGGGTAGCACCATATCCCACTCCTGCAGCGCCGGGGCCCTGACCAGCAGCACTACTCTGGAGTTGGAAGCTACGACTATAGGTCACCAGGCCCAGGGCCAACTTGTTGACGCTGGCACCACGGCTGATCCAGTCATTCACTGCATACTCACCACTCAGCGGAACTCCATCTCCGAAGGAATCACCTGAAGCGGATGGAGGTGCGAATGAATGAAATGAGACATCTCAAACTCCCCTGCCGGCAAAGCTGGAACACACATCTCTACACATGATTACAATTGATTAAATCCTAGCACAAAAACAATTACAGTAATCCCACATCCCTTTGGAACGTGTTTCATTTCAAACCTCATGCTTTTCAAACCAGCACTCCACACCACAGGCTCAGCCTTTCATGAACCATCCTTCCGAACCAACAAAACACCATCACCACGCGCCTGGGCCCGCATAGAGTTGGCTGTGAATGGCTGTTTTCTCCGGGCTCCAGCCTCCATACCTCGGACGGTCACTGAACGACACAGGATCTTCGTTGGACACACAGAACGACCTTAGCATCCTCGCTACGACCTTAGCAATGCCAGGAGCGCCCCGGGCCTCGTAGTTTCTTGCTCCGGACTCATAGCGATGCCCTTTGTTACGTTCGTAGCTTCTTGTTCCTAGTGGTAATGCCAGGAGCTTCTTTGTTCCTAGTAGCGTCCTTAATCTGCAACTCAAATGAGCTCCTTTAGACTGTTGGATTTTGAGAACTACATGCAATGTAACCACAAAACTAAGCATTCGGCATGTCATAGGTCATCAAGTTGATGAAATCCAAGTATTGGTTCAGGGCCGGCACGTCGTAGGCGTTGTCCGCAGTTGTTGGTCCAATGCCCACTGCAGCTGTCAGCAAGAGGGGTGCCTTCAACAATTGCGGGAACACCCCGTTTCCAAGAAACTCCAAATTGTGGCTCACATCCTGAACTGAGCAAATATCTCAAACATCCCATGAAGTCATGAAGATCCTCTCAGCTTTCGCCGTTGCCAAACGACCGGGGTCTAATCTTTGGACTCCAAGAGTTTGCAAAGCCCAACACAGCTTTCGCCTTCGGTCTTCGGTCTTCGTTTTCGCTCGCCTTCCCCGTGGCGGATCCTTCAGCATCGAAGGCACTGCGGAGCTCTGAGAGCAACAGAGCGAAGTTGGCCTTGTCGGTGGTGCGGCCCCCACGGCCGATGTAACCTGAGCACAGCCAAGCGGTGGGCCCTCCGAGCCACATGTGTCCCCCTGCGAAAGTCCACACCATTGAATGATGGGTGTATGGTTCCTTCATCTGGTTGAAGTTGCGCCATTGGATTCTGCAGATTCCTTTCGTAAGGCTGCTAGCTGCAACTAGCTGCTAGATTCCTTGGGAACCCAGGAGGGTTTTGCAATCTTGTTGACAAGCTCCTCAGATAGGTCCCAATGCCACATGGAATCTGCCGGTGGGTGTGGAACGCACGAAAGCATTCTTCAGAAATCTTCAAAACTACCAACAAGATCCAACACGTGCAGCCTTCGCGAACTGCACACGCCCTTATCTGTCACCAAAGCTTTGTTCCTGCTGTCTTGAAGAACTACTTAGCTTCTCAATATTAGCACCTTTTGTGTGTTGCTTTCTACAACCGCCACAAAGGTTTTTGAACATGCCCAAGTCATAGCTGCAGAATTTTTAGCACTTTTTGTTGGTGGGCCATGGGCCAAGCGCCTGTAGAATGAACAGGTCTTTGAGAGGGCAACCGGCCTACAAAGACTTAGAGCCAGGCCATCACCAAGGAAGTCTATGGAAGACCGGGAACCAAGATACCCTGCACCCCAAGCCAAATGGTCTTCCAAGGCTTTTCCCTCAACGAGTATGACCCAGCCAATGACGAGGAACCAGGATACTCCCAATCCAAGTCCAAGCCATCAAACCCCCAGGTGCGACAAAAGTCGATGGCTGAGTCCACAAACTTCCTCGGACCACGGAGCCGCAAGCAGCGGGTTTACTACCCGTGCGGCCGGCAACATCGATCACCCCTGGCCGTGAAGCAACTACTTTCTAGTAGCGTCCGATCGCTCCTGGTAGCGATGAAACAGTATGAGCTCCAACCAATTAGCAAACAAAAGCAACATATCATGCGATATAGAGCTATTCCTGAAACAACCGAAGCACCTCCTTGTCATGTTGGTCGTTGGCCGGGTGCTGGCAAAGTCCAACCCTTTGTCCCAAGCAAGTGCCAGACAAACATCATCCCCCGAATATCTTATAATATCTTATATAAGGTGGGTCTCGACAGCAAACATGGAATCTCAGATCTCATCATTTGAACCTTTTGACCCTCCTAAATCCCCAACATTGCACTCTTTTAGGTGCTTAGTGTCTGTCGGTTTTCGGCTGTGCTCACCATGTCTGAGAAGACGTATTCGCTCCAGCCACTATCCAGGCGCTTCATCCGCGTGGCGCTTTCGGCATCTTCGCTCTCGGGAAGATTGAAGGACCATCCTCCAATGGAAATCAAGGTCTTCAAATGTGGATGGGTCGCCTTCAGGTCGTTCACCTGGAAAAAAACAAACAGTGAAGGACCAGTGTCTGGTGCTGCATTTCATGTGACAATCTCCTCAAATCGTTCCTTTTGGGCTTGGGAAGTCTGACTTGCTTTGGGCTTTTGCTGGTCCACATCCTTGCAAAAACTCAAGATGTTGGTGGATTTTCGCTGGTTTGCTCCTCCGCACCTGTTCGTAAAGGCCCTTCGAACACCACTCAGATTGCTGGCTACATGGTGTTTCCCAAGTACCAGTGCCCCAATTGCTCACATCGTTGTCTTCAAAGTGTCGAATCTTAAAGGTGCTGCTGTGGATCATGGCGAAGGCATAGTTGAGATGGGTGATCTTGTCTGCCGGGATGTCGGAGGGCATGAACTTATAGGGCTCAGGCCACCACTGGAACCAATTGGCAAAGTAGGCCACAAAAATCTTTCCACTATTGCCACCGGTCGTTGAGGAGACCTTCAGAGACAAATGATGGAAACAGGATGAAACAGGTGTGATTTCCACAGCGTTTTTGAGCATACTCGCGCTGAAACAGTATCTATACATTCCTGCACTTTGGTGCCTGCTTCATTTGCTCTGGTCAAGCTGCTCTACTACCTACTACATCTTTCTGAACGCTTTCGGAAGGCCCATACATCAGGATGCACCTGCAAGACGTGGGTTTTAAAAACAACAAACCATTCGATCTTCCTGCCGGAAAACCGTCGTAGACCCAGCAGTAGTTGAGGCCGCTGTGGAGACAGTCGTGGAGACAGTTGTGGATGCAGCCGTCGTGGAGACAGTTGTGGATCCAACCGTGGTTGACAATGTCGTTGAGGGAGCAGCGGTGGTGGTAGTGGTGGTGGTGCCGCCATCTGTGGTGGATGTGTCTGTACAGGGGACATTGGCACTCCAGTCGCAAATCTTGAGATTGGAGTTGAAGCGTTGGCCCTCAGCACACAACTGCATTGGTTCGTTTCCATGGAAGCAGTTGAAATACCCCCTGCAATCTAGATTGCCCACCATGCCCACAGGGGCGGCATACAAGCCAGTCTTCCCTTGGCAGAACTCCGACGGATCTGTAGATGAACTGCTTGTCGTTGCGGGAGATGTTGTAGTGCCTTGCCCTGTGGTGCTGGGGGTTGTGGTGCTTGGCGCCACGGTTGTGCTAGGGGAAACAGTTGTGATCACCTCACAAAGCACGTTGTCCTTCCAGTCACAATTCTTGGTCGCTGGGTTGAAGCGCAAGCCCGAGCCACACAGCTGCATGGCTTCATTGCCATGCCAACAGTTGTAGTAGCCCCGGCAGTCCTCATTGCCTTCAGCTCCCGCCGGTGCGGCGTGAAGCCCTGTCTTCCCTTGGCAGAAGTCGTCACCGACCGTCTGACTGAGCTTGCGCTTGTACTGAACGAAGCCAGCACCTCAGGGGCTCAAACACTGGTGGAACCGTCTAAGACCGTGCCAAAATCATTTGGGATTAACTTCTGATACACAATGCGCAGCTTGGGCACCAGCCGTGCTACCCATACAAGGAGCGAGCGACTTGCCAAGCATCAGTAGAGCGAGGATATGCATCATCCTTCTCAAGGCTATCAGGGCTTAGCTCAATGCGACCGAGATTAAGGCACCACTTGATCAAACAAGCTTCCTCCGAGCCAACAAATGGCTAAGGCAGGCGACTCAGTGAGACATTCCTGTGAGCGTAGGAAAAGCAGGACCAGGAGCACAGCCTGTACGTTGAAACCTTTTCCGTCCTAGCATCTACCCACAACAAATCTCACACACCCATGAATCCTGCGCATTTTGGCTCTCGAAGGAGTGCCGGGTCTTGCGTGTTTCACCTGGCCTGACCCTGTCGCCTTGCGCCACAAAGCGGAGCTGTTGGGGAGGCAAATCCTCCGTTGCGGTCGGTCGCCCATTGGCATTTCCCGCAAACCTCCAGGATCTTCGAAGTATCCACTGTAAGGACACAGCGACTGTCATGGACCTATGCCCCTGAAATCTGCTTCCAGCTGCGCAAGGACTGTGCGCAGAATGCCGCAGATCGAACATCCTGGAGGGTCCAAAATTAGACCACGAAGTGCACCCTGCCGACACACAGGAATGCAGGCATGCCTAACCTACAATAATCCTACAATGACTCAACCAAGAATCCCTTGGGCGCAAAAAGCGCCGAGTCCAAGGGATGTTCGCCAGGAGTCCAAGGGACCCATCTGTGCAGGCAGTGATCCGACTTTTACGGCAGCACTGCTGGCTCCAAAGAAACGCGGAAGCACTGATGGCTTGCTTTCATCAATCATCTGCACCGTTCCCAAAGAAATGCGTTGATCTGAAGATTGTCACCCTCAGAACTCAGAACCATGGGTATTCTTTCTTATTATTTCATTGTTTTGCCAGAAGGCATTCTCTTGACGCGTTCCCCACTTGGCAAATCTTGGCAGTCTGGTCACTTGGCTGAAAGCCTCATAGCCGCCTTGCCCTGTTTGACCTGAGTTCGAGTTGCCCCCACAAGGATCCAAAAGAAATGATCTGCCAGGATTCCCTTTCTTGATCAGTCAGGCCCTGCTTGTGGCATTCAGTGCATTTCAGTGCCGTCATAAAAAAGGATAGTGTCTACTGACGTCTACTCTAGCGTATATATTGGTGTGATTGATGTGGGAATTTAAGGTTGACTGACATTTTGCCCCACAGTCTGTCGAATAAATTTGACAAGGAATGTGGTCAGGTTCCCCCTACGCCCCTTGCCACTTTTGCCTTTCTTCCTGATTCTCCCTGGTCAACTCTTGGAATAGCACCGCCAATGCGTTGTTTTCCCTTGTTTGCTTACCAAACAAATCCTGGTGTCTTTTTCTTGGCGCTTTGGACAACGCTGCCTGGATGCTGATCCCAAGTTTCTGGCTTGGCGGATGAGAAGCGATGCGCTTTCCTCTGGGGACAAGTACCTGCACAATTGCACTCAGCTGACTGCTTGAATTAATTCTCCAATCATACTCCAACCATCTTCAACTTGCCACCTCTGAACCAATCCACGCAAACAATCGAACCGACAAATGCGGGGCGTTATCTTAGAAAGAGTCCGTCCAGAAAAGGATGAAGTAACAAAGTAGGGCGATCCTACCATACACCTAGTTGATCAAAGCAGCTCTGCTCACGTCATGTCGACTGCTTCTGGCCAATGTGAATTCTGCTGCTGTAGTTCCTTCCTTGGATGGAAGGAGTTCCTCCCATGGTCGGTTATGACTCAAAGAGTGCTCCCCATACGGGCACAGCTCTGGTGTTTCCAAGGAGACCTTGAGTGAACATCAAATCCACACCTTCCCACTCTGCCCAAAGAGGGTCGCTGTGGTGCTCTCTAAGGAGCCACATCAACAGAAGAGAAATGTCACACTTGGTAAAGTGGGAGATGACCACAGCAGGTGGTGTGAGAGTTGACACACACCAAACACATGGAAGGCAAAGAAACAAAGGTATCGCCACCTCCAGGCTCATAGTCCCGGCATGTCCCGGCCCAGAAAACTGATCTACTTGTGAGTGTCTTGACGCACCCAATAGTGCATCCACGAGGTCCAGGTGCATCACCACAAAACCAACGATCCCCCACTACCTGGGGCTCCGGACGTGAGCTCCAAATCCTGACCTGGGCTGTTGCAGCGACGAGCGCCTCGCCGCCGCGGCGGCGAGCGTCTGACGACTTTCAAGACCGTCTCCCCACAAGCTATTGCAAGCGAACCGGTCGTTTTCAGGGTGACTTGCACAAATGACATGTGTTGAAGAATTTGGGATACAAAAGGTGCGAAAGGATACAAAAGGATAATACATTTGATTGATAAGTGGGGACACGTACTGGTAGGATCTGGTAGGGCCCAACTCTTTGTCGGAAGTCTGTGGACCGACAAACTTGAAGAGCTCGAAGTCATTTGGGACACCGACCTTTCAGACTCTGAGCCTCGCACGCACGCGTTCAGGTGAGGTATAGTCATCTTCCAGGAGCATTGGCCTGAGTGTCTTCAAAGAGTCTATGTCAAATCGAGTCAAACCCCAAGTTGTGGTCATACATGGTCATAAATGGAGCTATGCAAGAATGTTGACAATCAAACACCTGTTGATGCATAGCTCACCAGCCCATGGTGCCAAGCACCCAGCATATTCCGGGCAGTCATTTCGTTCTTCCTGCTCTGACCTGAGCAAAAAGGTACAGATCACTGCACAAAATTCACAAAAACTTGCTTCAGGGTTGCTCACGGATGGCCTGTAACGACTTTGGCTAGATGTGCAAAACAAGAGGAGCAGGCTTTGCCTTTCTGATCTTTATGTGGTCTGGAAAGCACATTCCAACAAAGCATGTATGCTGCTTCGAAGCTATCCCTTCTCTCCTCCAACCTATCCTCAACACTTTCGCTGGTCTTGAATTGCAAATGGCCCCGGACGCAACCTCAGCAGCCGTTCTTCTTCAACTGTGATGAGCGCCACCTGCAGTTCGTGGCATCCATCGAGACTTCGTGACTAAATGCTTCTGGGTGACTGGGTGACCTCATGTCAAGTGTTGCTATTGGGGTTGAAGGCCATCGCTATTAGCTTGGAGGCCATCGCTGCCAGGCATCGCTTCCAGGGTGGAGGCCA